TTTAAGGTGTTTGAAATCTCTGCTTATGCCTCCTGTTACCTGCAGTGGAGTAACAGGGAGTAGTAGTTCATCAGTCCACTGATAGATGAAGACCTTTAAACTGCCTCAGTATTAGCAAATCCCTGATTTTTGCCCGAAAAGGCTTTCTCATTACCTGAACAAGTAATAGATGCAGACATGCTTTATTTAGATGTAGAGGTGTGGACTAGGAGGATATTAAAAGTTTTTTGAATGTTCCAAGGGTAACACAGACGCCAGTGTAGTTTGTTATGCATATTGAAACACCTTGTTCACTGTTTTGTTTTTACTGGGGAATACTGGTTTTCTGGAAGAGCACCAAAGCTGTCAATCCTTGTTACCAGTGATGTCTGCCACAAGGTGTGCCTGTCATATAAACAGGGGATACAGTTCTTTGAGACTTTAGCCAGCTTTCTTGATGAAAGGGTGCAGGGTCTAAAGTAGGATATGGTTATGGTAAGAGTGAACAGTAGGAAAGGAAGAAAAGGACTTAAATATTGTGAAATTACAAGTATTAAGTATTTTAACTTCAGTATTGGCAAAACTCTTGCCTGTCCAAACAGCCTTCATAAGCTTTCTCAGCCCTGTGTGCTTCCTTCCACCATTTCTTGTCTTGAATTCCCTGCTAGGACTCTGCATCTAGGATCTTCATCCTAAAACAACAGTTGCTGCCAGACTCTCTGAGGCTTCTGCTTCACATTCTCGTCCATGAACTCCCAGCAAGCTGAAGCCAGGAGAAGAGCCTGAAAGCATTTGAATGTCTTTACATGAACCTTTTAAAATTGCTTTAAATATTGCATCAGTAAAAACCCTGCACAATGTAGAAAAGACCATGGCATTGAAGAACTGGGAGGGAAAAAATGGTGTAACTTTTGTGCAAGTCTGTGCTTGTGAAGAGTTGGGAACATCATCCTGACCAGTGTCTAGCTGAAGTCAGGGGAATACATTTGTGAAAGTCTTGTTTCTTTGCAGAGTTGTTGTCTGAAGTCATCAGTAATTAATTACAGTCACTTGAGTGAAAAAAACCTGGTGTCCAATGACCTGATAATTGTTGAATTAAATAATGTATTGGTCAATACCATTAAAACCTCGTAACCAGGTTGAAACTGTGCTGCTTAGCTTGTAATATAATGCATAAACTTTTGTAAGATGCCAAACTGCTAAACAGTAGGGTTAGGCAATATGAGGGTGTGCAAGCAGTTTTCCTCAGTAAGAATGATAAGAGTACACATGTAATGTGCGTGGCTGTTTATACAATATAGTTTCATGTTAGGGAGCTTCTCCGCCCTGCTTGGTAGGGCAGTAGATTTATGCCCTGTAGTATAAGCAATAACACTTTTTTGCTGTACAAATGTGGAGTGCTCAAACTACTTTGTACAGAAATAGTACCCATATTTGATACTTTGATTATGGTATGGAGCCAGGAGTGCTCAACTGGAGTCTTTATTGATTTTTCAAAACACACTACATGTTATGGCAGTCAAATTGTAGTTGTTAAGTAAATGAAAAGGTCATTGTGTTTTGCTTGAACTTGTTCTCTGATTATAAAGTGTTTTAGATCATCAGTGTACAGCAGAAACTGTCAACTTTTAATGTTTTGGCACTATATGGAATGGTATAGTTGCAAGTCTAATATCTGATCATTGATATCAAGGCCTGGTTTGCCAGCAGGTAATTCTATGTTCACTGCTTGTTTGCCACTCTGTCCTAACAGTTTGCTATAATAGACCTGTAAATGAGAAGTTGTAGTAGGTGTTTTTGTCAGTGGCTTCATGGTCCAAAGCTCTCAGACAGATACCTGTCTGTTCCTAGTAATATATTTCAACTGGGTTTCTTGAACTCCCATTTTGATTTTTTTTGCCTCATGTTATCACTGGGCCATCTCTTCCTAATAGTGTTTTTTCCACTTTCATGAATTCTTCTTTAATTTTTATAATGGACACACAGTGCCCAGTGTGAAATAGCCCAGCTGCTTCTGCTTGATTCTTGCTCATTGAGATGTCATCGTCCCATTTGTCATCAGAGACTTTGTCCCCAAGGAGTAGCTACTTCTGCTTCTTGCCCTGTGTAGTAGTAGCCAATTAAAAGCCTTCTCTTTATCCCTCTGGTATAGAAGCTTTATAACTGGATATGCCATCTGTTTTGACTTTGCAAGCTAGTATGTTGTGGTGTGGCTCTGTTCACATGATCAAATAATAAGGCACAATAGATAAAGACAATTGGTGCTGCAGTTCCTGCAACTATATTACATGGTTTAGCATTTTTGTTTTGGATTACATGTAGTCAGTCTTCCCACACCAAACTGCCTCAATGTGCAGGTGTTTCAAAGCTGTCTGAAGCAGTGCCCCTTGGTTTAGCCCCAGACGTCTCTGCTAGGATGTGTTTTATATGTATCTGGACTCCAGACGAATCCAGTACATGTGCACCAACTCCTCTCTAAACCCAGCCGATGTGCCCAGCAGCTGGAGGATGATGAGGGACTGCAGGACTCCTGTGTGAGTCAGAGCTGTGCTGAGATGCAGGAAGAGCGACAGGACTGGTAGGTAGCACAGGGAAGCACGGTGCAGCATCCTGCGATTCAGAGCCACTGCCAGAGGTCATAGCTTGTGCCCCAGGTCAGCCCAGGCAGTTCCACGGTGGGAGCACACAAAGATTCACAGTATGAAAACAGGAATGGTTATGAAACAAATGTGTGCAGTAATAAGTGATACTGCTGTCACCAGAGCATTTTGCTAGCATTTGTTTTGACCAGCGTGCCAGCACTGAATTTTATTATGACTCAGTAATGCATGAATAAATGAGATTGAGCTTTTTCTCTGAAGGCTGGTATGTAACAGAAAACATCCTGCCTGAGGTTTTAATTTGATTTTGTCTTATATGGGATGAAAACATGCAGCCTGTGTTATTACTGTACTAATTTAATGTTCAGGAGTCTGCATGTATTTATACAGTTAGCAAAATGTTGCCTGAAAAACATAAACAACTTGTATCACTAATTCTAACATTCTAATTCTGTTTCTTGAGGAAGTTAACTTCAATTATTTTATCATCCATGTCCATGAGCTACATGAGCAATATCAGTTAGTAAGTGTATATCATATTTAAGAAGTCAAGATCAATGTCACATGTTTCATTAATGTGTGAAGGACAAGAGAAATAAGTCCAGTTTAAAAATATTTATTTCATATTCTGGTACACAGTCAGAATATGCTCATAGAAATTAGATACAGCCTGCTGTGAGATGTCCCTTTGATCTGTAAGATATTAGTATTTGAGCTCTGACTTGAAAATACTTTCATCTGAAATTAATTTTAAAAAATTTATTTAAGTGTATAAATAGTGTATTATTTGAAATACAGTCAAAACACTGTTTTCCTTTGCTAAGATATCAATTAGGCTGAACTGTGCTGATCGACATCATTGCACGCTATAATGAACTTTCCTTTTCAGACATTCTTTCTTACACTTTGAACACCCGTTTATGGAGTTTTGATTCTAAAAGTAGAAACAACTTATTTTGCTACTCTCCATCTGGAAAAGCTCCAGTTCACTGAGAAAGCAGCAACAGACCACAGAGCTTTTAACACCACAGGGCCTCTTCCTTGTACTGATTCTTCATTAAGTACAAAATTCAGTTAAACAGTTCACCCTTGAAGGCTTTGTGAATATCAGGCAGCTCAGTCAGAACACCTGAGAGATATTTCAACCTGTTCTGTTGGTATGAAACCCACATACATCAGGATCCCAGAAATGGGACTTCTCAGCATGAACTTTGAGGTTACTTCTAATTTATATGAGTCTGAAAAAAATTAGTGACATTTAAAATTAAAATTTCACACTCTTTTTTGTTGTTATTCTCAAGTAGTTGCCTTTATCAAGGAATGTCTACCAGTGGAAAGGAATTTATCAATCCTGTCATGCAAACATTTTAGTCAGGAGCATGGTAAAAATTTCTGTCATAATGACATGGGGGTGTCTCATATGAATACCTAAAGCAGACTTTAGGTTTTTAATTAAAAATCACACAGCCTTTCCTCTAGCTACAGAATGTAAAGCAATCATTTCAAAAGACCACTATACAATCCTTTTAACATCAAAAAGATAAACATGCTTGGTAACTGAATACTCTTAGGGGAAAAGGACAGATGACAAGAGAAGAGACAAGGAGAATCCTTGTATAAAGAATTATTGATCTGTACTAAATAATGATAACAAGAAGTAGAGAGTAAACTAATTAACACATTTTATGTAGCAATGCCAGCATAAAAGATACTAGGTTTAATACAGTAGTTGTTATAGGCATCGCAAAGATAAATTGTGGCAATAAAGAAGTATTACTGTCCTTATTAAACACACTATTAAGACCCTTTCTTTGTGGAAGAGCTAAGGTCACAATCATGGTAAATGGAAATTAAGATATGCCTATTTCCAGCTTGCTAATGTTTGAAGAGGAGTTAGCAGAACAGTGGCAGTAGTAACATACACAAGCACTAAATTTGTGTACAGATCTTTACTTATGACACCTTCCAGTACGTATTTTTAAAAAATTTAAAATTACAGTCTTGATTAGCTGAGCACAAAATTATACTTTTTTTCTTAAAGTAGTTAGTTTTCATGTGAAAACAGAAAAAATTTAGTCTTTATACCACCAATTTAAACCAGCATTGTTTTTGCTCTATTGTAATGCCTTTGATATGCCTCTATATTAAATAGCAAGTTAAACAGAAAAAAAAGCTTATTTTTATTAATTAGATTTGGGTGGTAAGTACAAATGAAGAACCTAAATGATGACTTGTCCTTCCATTTCAAATTCTTGTGTTGGACATTTTCTTCCTCTTCTTTGTAACTAAACATTCTGAGTTTCAGGCTGCATCCTTTATAGTCTTTCCAGATAATAGTGTAAGGTTTAATCATTGCTTCTTAATCCCTGATTTTAGTACATTATGTGGATCTCAGCTCTCCATGTCTACAATGTCATGTGATCACACTAAACAAGAAAAGGTTGGTATTGTTTACTTCAAAAATATCTTTTTTGTTGAAGTGTCCTATTATTCTGGAGATCAGTATAATAATTCATACAAGCCTGAGTGATTCATAAATATCGAGTTTTAAAATTAAACGTTTAAGTACAGAGAAAATGTCAGCGAAGACTACTGAGTATTGAGTACCACTTCAGAGTCATCTTGATTTGCTTTATTGCTTTTCTATTTAAAAAAAAAAAAAGTATAAAGACGCAGTTCTTTATAGATGTTCTTTAAAACAGCCTCCATGTATTTCTGATCTACAGTTCTCATCTTGCAAATATGTTGAGGTGAATAACAACTCAAGCAGCCCGCTGAACTGAATAAGATTGTTCGCATAAGTAAAATATTTGCACAAATAAATGTTTGTAGAACTAACCACAGAGGTTGCAAGGAAAACTGTATCCAAAGCCAAAATTCAGGAAAGAAAAAGATTTAGTGAGATCATATGACAGAGGTAAACATAAGCAAGTGTTCTTTGAAGGAGAAAGCTGGGGCATGAAGGGAGACTGATGGCTGGTGGTGTAACTCATATGCATGCCACTGTTGTACTGCAGGGGCTTTGGGTAGGGTCGGGGAACGGAGAGAGAAGTAGAAGGAAATGAGAATTTTTATGGAAAACTGCATAACATAATGAAATGGAACTTGATTTCCTGATTCCTGCCACATCCTTGAGGAGATTGGAGTGCTTAGGGTGTTCAGAGGAGGAGGACCCTGGTAAGGGCACCCTGGAGGAGCGGGCAGTGTAGGGTTAGAACGGAAGCTATAGCCACAAGTATGGAAGACCAGTGTGCTGAAACAGCAGAACGTGTTTTGGCAATGGGATTAATAAAAACCTGTGTACCAGTCACAGTGCAGCTCATACGGGGTAGGAACAGTCTGTCCTGTGAGCCCAGAGAAGCACCCGTAGCTGAGGGAACAACACGAGTAAATCCTAAGGCACCTCCAAAGGAACCGTTAAGAATTTACTGACTGGCAAAAGTGAATAAGAGTGGATGTGTTAGGACTTGGGAAATATTCTGAAGATGTTGCTAAGATCAAGGAAATACCTGTTGTAAGTAGAGGCCAGACTACAGCCTTCACTGTTTAATGAAACAACAGCGCAGAAGTTCTGCTATTAGTCATCACATGGATTGTCACTTGTGGGAATTACTGTTGCTGTGCATTTTTTAATTCCAATTTATGGGCAGGGAAGGTGCAGAAAAAATGGGTAAATGTACATTTGTTTAGTAATTAGGGTAAGACATGTTTTCTTTGTTTGGCTAAGAGTAGGAATTGACTTTGTATTTTGAGTGTGACAGGGATGCTCCTGTAGTGCTACAGTTTCACCCTTTAGGTGTTCTTTAAACAGAAATGGTACTAATTTTGCTTAACAACAGTTGTAAGAAATCCAAGCAGCTTTAAGGGGCTTAATGAAATTATTCAAACTTTTGGTCTGAGGTTGATAAATATGTTTTCATGTTTGGTGGCCAAGATATCAAATCCTGCATTTAGTTATGCTAATGTAAGTTTATGCCATTTACGCAGCAGTGAGGTATTATGTGGCTCTGAGCTTGCATAGAACCAGTCTGTAGTGTGTTAAATATTTATAAATTACATATTAACATCAGCACTTAAATATTGTTCTGAATACTTATTAGGGTCACTTTCAAGTGTGTGTGTGTGTGTGTGTGCGCATGTGTGTTCCTCTCAATATGAGAACAGTGGGTTTGCTCTGGTCTTTATTTTTATTGATGTAGGGGTTTGTCTGGGCTCAAGCAGAAAAATGACAAGCACTGCTTGTGAACTGGACAGTAATGTAGTCTATTATTTAAATATGATCTTACTAGCAAGCACATTGGTTTTGTTTTATTAAAATTCCAACACTTCACATTTTTATTAATCACTTTCCCACTCTTTCTATTCACTTGTATTCTGATGCCCGTGCTCTGGTACCCATAGCAACACTTGTTAATGCTAATGAAACTGCAACATCCTAAGCTCCCCGACAGAGCAGCCCTGTTAAATATGGCTGTTAAGCACAGTTGTATTTCTGTTAGTTCCAGCTCCCAGCAGACACCTGCTCTGTAGAAACTCTGTCCTGAGATATTAGGATTTGCTAACTCGGAGCTTTTCTTAAAGCTGGCATTTGACTGGAGTGAAATTCTCATATTCCCAGACAGTGGATGCTACAGAATATGTATGATTTCTGTAAAACTGACAAGGTTTAGCTGTAGGATTAAGTACTCTTTTGAAGTGCTCATTTGCATTCAATGAAAAAAAGGGCAGGGTTGAGTCTGACTGATCTTGGAGGAAGCTACAGGATGTGTTGTCTCCTAGAGCACATGGACCTTTTAACTAAATATCATTCATAGTGTATTAACAAGCAGAAGTAATAGCTAATAATACCTCTTGAACTCAGACTCCACTCAACTTAATAGAAGTACTTAAGCACTTTAATAAATAGAGGTAGGAAATAGTTATGTGCATTGATTCTTCTTTCACTAAGGAACATATTTGCATGTAGTATTGGTGAGGATGATGACAGGATGTTTTATTTCCATTATCCTGAGTTTTGGTTTTGAATACTGTTTATTTGGCAAGTCATTAGTCGTCCATCTTTTATACTCTAGAAAACAAAGGAAAAATCCTATAATCAGTATAAAATCTTTTCCAAGAATATGACCACAAATTAGGGAATGCCACTGTGCCAATAGATGCTGCAGTGCCAAGGCTGCAAAATGGGGAAGCTCTCGTGTGTATTTCAAGTGTCAAGCTGGTGCTTTTCAATACTTTTTCATCATAGATCAAAAAAAACAGAATACTAGACAAAGCTTTAAAACAGCTAATTTCCCAAAGAGTTTTAAATGCAGCACTTTTTTGTGCAGAATTACCTATAGCTTGGTTCCCTAATGTACCATATCTGGGGAGTTTGGTCATTTTGATAACTAAATGGTTTTGCTGTGTAATCAGTGTGAGCTTGGGGGAGGGTGCTCAGCCTTTCTGTTTTCCAGTCGGCATCTGTTATGCTGTTAGTGTAGAGTGCCTGGTTTGCTAGGTGTCTTTCAATTTCCTCTCATTCTTTCTCCTCTTTGTTATTTACATGTCTAAAAACCTCAATCTTTTACTTACTGTTTGGATTTCTTTATTTGCCTGTATATCTTTGTTGTGTTCATCTTTGTTTTAGGATCATTTAAAGTTCTTGTGCTAATCTCCTCATAATATTAACCAGCTGTATTAATGAGATAATAAACTAGACTTGTTGGTAATGAATTGATTCATTCAACTACTGGATTTAATTAGAAAGACACTTAACATTCCAGCAGATGTTCTTATTTTGTTTCATTATCCTTGTGTTACCAACAGTGGGCTTATAAATGTATACTCTGCATGTCTATATTTACATGATGCATTCGTCCACCTAAAGCCTGTTGTGCCATAAACTCAAAAAAATTAGATGAAACCTGTAAATATGTCTTAAGCCAATTTATATGAATTCCTCTTTCATCATTTCATTTCCCAGTCTATATGCAGTCTTGAATTTTCAGAGTATTCTTCATCTGATAATAAAATGCTTGATCTCTGTAAAATGAGATAGATGTCTTCTTCACTAGTTAAAAACACTTGTCTTTGGACTTATATTATCTCCTCTCCTTCTGGTCTCATGACTCTCATTCCTTTTTATCTGGTGACAAAGCTTCAAAAAGAATACAAGTGCCCCTCTCCTCGGCATTCCCTGCAGACTAATTTAGGGAGTTCCTTGCTGGTTGCCTGCTGGAGGGGTCTGCCTTTCCCTGAGCTCTGGGCCTTTAGGCATGGCAGCAAGTTGCATCCCAGGACCAAGCCATGTGAGTTAGGAACTGTGACAGTGAAGTTATTTCATTGATCTGAACCCCAGCACCCTCACTTTCCAGTTAGGGAATGTAATTTATGCAGCAGTGTTCAACTTGTCCCCAAATATAGTCAGAGCACATAGTTCGGATATGCAACCGCGAAGAATTGAGCACAACAGCTTTTACTGTATTTAGTGTGCTACATATGCCTACGCTGACAACAGTAGGTTTTGCAAACTGACACCACTGCTGGATGTCCTTGTTGGGAAGCACGGTGATAAAATCTTAGTGTTTTCCTTTGTGTGTAGTGCTTTTGAAGGAACCCTGAACACTTTATAAGGCTAACATGGATAACAAGATAATAAGGCTATAAAGGATAACAAACCATCCATTTGCTTCTTGGTGGCAGCAAGCTTTTACACTGGCTAAACCATCTCTGAGAACTTTGCCTTTCACAACTGTGGTGGTTTGACTTTGGCTAAATGCCAGGTATCCACCAAGTTGCTCTATCACTTCCCCCCCCCCCCCCCCCCCCCCCCCCCCCCCCCCC